GGTGTAAGGGGGGGGGGGGGGGAAAAGGTGGACAAAAAGGCGTTACCTTGTATTTACACTGTTGTACTCCACAGACAAACTTCTCAGTGTGAATCCATACTATTCCAATCATAGTATAGCTGGAGTCATCAGCTCTGGATCTTTTCCATTGTATGCATTTGCTTAGATTACTTCAGGCTAAATCAGTTAATGATATGCAGATCTGAGTTAAGAAAAAAACAAGTTAGTTTACAGGTAAAAGATCTGATTTTTAAAAAGTAACCTTTGTGTGTGAAATAGGCAAATATAAATGGATGTGTTATCAGAATATGCTTTTCACTAAATGCTGTAGAGCTTACAAGAAGCTACTATAACTCACTGTTATAAACTAAATTTTAGAAGATGTGGCAAGAACTGATCTCTATTCACATTCTTTGCCATGAGCAAAATGCTGTGTTTCGTGTCCAAAAAATTATATATCTAACTCCTGCTTTAGTTAATACATGCTATCTGTATAAATATGCATATTTGAAAGACATTAGAAAATAAATGTGTCTAAAACATATTCAATATCAGAAGAGAAACTACTCTTTTTTTTTTAATGTGTAGTTGAAGCAATTTCAAGCCTTGGAGATAAAAAATATTATGTTGGTCTTCCCTGTAAACATCAGTGAATAGGCAAAATCTCAAGCTTTTGCAAAAGTACAAAACACTACATGGTATAAGGGTCTTCAATTATAGAGTGATCTGTTTAAGGATTTATTGTAGGTAAGCTACAGTCTTACTGGAACAGTTCTACACAAGCACTGCTTTTGGCAGACATTTGAATTTTGAACATGAGTATATATCCAATCTCATGACAGAAAATGAGGCAGTAATGGCCACTCAAATTACAGGTGACTTTTCCTGACTTTTTACTCTTCAGTAGTAGTGAAGAGATTGTGTATTTAGGTTGTCAAACAATGAACATTTGCAGATCTTTAAATTCAGCTATTCCTGTAGCAAAAGCATAGTTTTAGTTAAAAAAAAAATAGGTCTTACACTCTATTTTCATTTCAGTCCCAGTGTTAGACTATGAAAACATGCTATCTGTGATATTTTCCTACTAATTCACTACTTCTTACTTGAATGGTGATAAATTACGTAAGTGGAATTTGTTAATCTTTGATGCTCTTTTGTGTATAGTCTTATGATGTAAGGCTTTTGTTTATGTACCATAGTGGCACGTATTACTTGATATAACCATGGAGTCTTTGGGAACACGCAGACATTTTTTACTGGACACAAGCTCTTGCCCAAAGAGATCCAATTGTAGCAGCAGCTTTCGGGGCCCTGCATGCACCCATATGCCTTCATGGCCCTCACCCGCTGAGTGTAGGCAATCAGCTGGGCCATGCTTGAAGCTTTCTGAATGCTACAGTTTGTAAAGTAAATGTTGCTGAAATTAGTAAAATATAACCAGAAAATGTGAAAGGCAAAGTACATGAGTCATTCAGACTCATTCAGTCATTTGACTCACAGAAAAGTGAGTGCATATTCTCTGAAAATATACAAATCCTGTAATACTATGTAGTATAGAGTGTACTGAAGAAAAGATACTGCAATGGATGACGTAAGTGAAAGAGGAAGTGCTTTCAGTGCAATACGATACAGAATCTAGTACAAAGGTTATTTAAACAGAACTTATAGCATACAATTAATGCTGGAGTTTTTCAATCACTTTAAGCTCGTACTTTTGTAAAGTTAAATTCAACCCAGATTAGTTATCTGAGTGGCTACAACAAAAAGCAGTTCTGGGATAAGAAGAAACTCATAGATTTGGCCATTGTGCATCCCCGGTCTCACTGGAAATCCCTGCCTAAATCCCTGCCTAAAATATGTCCTTTCACTGAGAAAGAATCACGTTCATAAGGGTAGGACAAAAACAAGGTATCGTGTTTACCATTACATATGGACAGCAGCTAACTAGTCCTACAGTAACAAACTCAGAGGAAACCCAATCATCGAAAGAGGCCCCTATGCCTGGGTAGGTAATATAATATACTGTGAAGAAAATGAAAATGATTAAGAGAATCTGTAGGAAATAAAAGTGCAGGAACAATTGTGATAGATGTAGAATTTTTACTAGATTGCATCTTTTCATGTCTTGGGTTGCTTTTTATGTATTTATTCTGTGATTATGTGAACTAATAACAGAAGAGCTATGCACACTCATCCTCAGAGCTTAGTCTTCCATTGAATTTTGCCTTTCTGAAGTGTGATCCTACTCTTCAGCAAAACTATATCACCAAAAAAAAAGAAGTGGAAAAGCATCTCTGTGCTTGATTTTGTCTTAAAACAATTTCTGTTCCTGGGTTACTTTCACTTTTAACTATGTATCACCCTCAATAAGTTTGCCGACGACACAAAGCTGTGTGGTGCCGTGGACTCACCTGAGGGAAGAGATGCCATCCAGAGGGACCTTGATAGGCTTGAGAAATGGGCCAGTGCAAACTGCATGAGTTTCAACAAGTCAAAATGCAAGGTCCTGCACCTGGGCTGGGCCAGTCCCAGGCACAAATACAAACTGGGCACAGAGTGGGTTGAAAGTAGCCCTGTAGAGAAGGATTTAGGGGTGTTGATAGATGAGAAGCTCAACATGATCCAGCAGTGCGCTCATGCAGCCCAGAAGGTCAACCGCATCCTGGGATGTATCAAGAGAAGTGTGGTCAGCAGGTCAAGAGAGGGGATTCTCCCCCTTTGCTCTTATGAGACCCCACCTCGAACATTGCGTCCAGTTTTAGTGCCCCCACCATAAGAGGGACATGGATCTGTTGGAACGAGTTCAGAGAAGGGCCACAAGGATGATCCAGGGGCTGGAGCACCTCTGCTACGAGGACAGGCTGCGGGAGCTGGGATTGTTCAGTCTGGAAAAGAGAAGACTTCGGGGGGATCTAATAGCTGCCTTCCAGTACCTGAAGGGAACCTACAGGAAGGCTGGGGAGGGACTTTTTACAAGAGTGTCCACTGATAGGACAAGGGGAAATGGGTTTAAGTTGAAGGAGAATAGATTTAGATTGGACCTTAGGGATAAATTCTTCAGTATGAGGGTGGCAAGACTTTGGAATAAATTGTCCAGAGATGTTGTGGCTGCCCCCTCCCTGGAGGTGTTCAAGGTCAAGTTGGACAGAGCCTTGAGTAGCCTGATCTAGTTGAGAGGCGTCCCTGCCCATGACAGGGAGGTTGGACTAGATGATCTCTATGGTCCCTTCCAGTCTAGGCCATTCTATGATTCTATATTCTTTAACTATTTGAAGAGTC